TTAAAAAGAAAACAAAACAATTTGCACAATTTCATTGTTTCCTTTTCAACATTCTCTCAGCTGCCAAGCAGAGCTTCCAGCAACACCCCTCCCCGCACACCCAAAATCCCCCAACACACGCACACACACACACACACACACAGAGGGATAGGGTCGAAAGACTGACCCCATGCAAGCACAGATATGACAGATCCAAGACGGAATCGATCTCCACAAGTGCATTTAATGAAAGTAATAATTCAGAAAATCCAAATCAATCGTCAAAGCTCAGATCCCCATTTTGCAGCTTCAAATCCAGGAAAGAGAGATCTCAGGATTCAGTAACCTGCCAAAACTTAAACAGATCAATTATTCGTAGCAACCATCAAACCCTCCGTTTCCCCGCAGAAAAACCTTCATTCAAAAATTTACATTTCTAATTTCTTAGTTCTGTCAGCAAACCAAACAATCTAAACAGAGATAGAGGACGAAGACGAGAGTGAGAAGTCAGACCTGTGAAAGGACATGATGAGACTTGGATTCGGTTAACTCAATTAGTCTATCTCTGTCCTCCTTTCCTTACCGCCCTTTGGTCGGCGATTAGCAGTGACCAAAGGGTTCGGTTCAACCAAGGTGGTTCAGTTCTCCTTCGTCTCTGAAACTGAAAATTATCGGCAAAGCAGAGAGACAGAGAGAGAGAGAGAGAGAGAGAGAGAGTCAGTTATCTTCGACCATACCAAGAGTGTCATTTATGGGTGATTGCCCATTTGGGAATTTTTAAGGACCAACGGATAATATAAAGGGATTTATTACACTTTCAAACTCACCATTTTCTAGTTGGTCCTTTATAAAATTTATTATTAAGTGAAATTAAAAAAAAATTATAATAGAGAAAATCTTAATACTTTTTTTTTCACATTATCTTTTAAATTATCATGATTTTCACCCCATTACTAAGATGATATAAAGTTATTTTATTTTGTTCTCTAAATTATGTAATTTTTTTTCACTTTATCTCAACATGTAGGCAATTTTCGTCCAACAACATAGCTAACGTTTATGTTTTGGATAATCTGATATAATTCAAATAGCTGAGAGGGTAATATAAAATATTTAACAATTTAAAGGATAAAAGTGAAATTAAATTATAGTTTTGGAGATCAAAATATAATTTAGAGTAAACTAAGTATATAGCTATCAAAGTATGACATTTTAGTCAATTGAACCCATAACCTTTTTTTTTTTTGGTGTTAATTGAATCTGAACTATCTAATTGTATCAACCGAGTCCTTTGTCTACTTCTATTAAGAATGTGTCACTCACGTAATTATATAGAACAAAATAATTTAATAATTTAAAATTTAATAGTAGAATGTAGTATGCAGTAGAAAGAAACATTTTATTAAAATAAATTAATAATTTAAAATGTAAAAAAAATTAAAAATAAGGGAAGATTCAAGACTCTCCTAAAATTATTTGGGGTGTTCTTTAAAAAGTTTTAAAAAAAAATATGTTTGGAGTGACCTTCTAACTTTTTGTGTCAAAATAAAAAAAAATAATAATTATATGTATGTATAGATTGNAAATAAGGGAAGATTCAAGACTCTCCTAAAATTATTTGGGGTGTTCTTTAAAAAGTTTAAAAAAAATATATGTTTGGAGTGACCTTCTAACTTTTTGTGTCAAAATAAAAAAATAAAAATAATTATATGTATGTATAGATTATACATAATATTTCCCAAAGTATGAATTTCAAATTTTTTTATGTCACTAATAATATTTTATGAATAAAATAAATCAAAAAATTATGTAAGATTTGCCATAAAACTCCAAAAAAAAGAAAAAAAAACTCATAAAATTAATTTCTTGAATCAACTTAAATGAGTTTTTTTGAGTCTAAAAAGCTACCGCTTTTGAATCTTGACTTATTTTATTCCAAAATTCTTAAAAATNATAAATCAAAAAATTATGTAAGATTTGCCATAAAACTCCAAAAAAAAGAAAAAAAAAACTCATAAAATTAATTTCTTGAATCAACTTAAATGAGTTTTTTTGAGTCTAAAAAACTATCGCTTTTGAATCTTGACTTATTTTATTCTAAAACTCTTAAAAACTACTTATTTAATTTAACTTCAGACAGACATTAAGTATCGAAATTACTCGTCATCACATGTCTATCTTCGAGTAGCAACCCTCAAATAGACGAGGAATTCAAAACTTAAAATAGGCGTTTCAAGAGGTAATGGGCGAGAACCCAAGTCTTAGACTTAGTTACATTGTGTAAATATACTCAAATTGATCAACAATTGCAATAAAATTCAAATAAAAGCAAAGAGAGATTACCAAATTGAAGGGAGATAATTGACTTTTCTCTCTCTCTCTCTCCATGTCGGCAAGGTAAGATAAGGTAAGGTAAGGTGTACCCAGAATCCCACCCACTGACCCAAGTTAGGTATGTGGTTTGAGTAATTGCATTATTGATCCTGGTAGTGCAAATTATGTGGAAGTGATCACATGTCTTCATTAGAAGCCTCCAACAACATCAGATATTTACCAATACATGAAGTATTTATTGTGTCTTGAGTTCAAAAAATCACCCACCTCATTAAAGCTTACATTCAAAGATGGTGGCTGTAAGCAGCAGACTATGTCAAATGCCAGAGCAATATGAGTGGGATTAGAACCCCACCCCGAGTGCTACATTTTTTCCACTTTATTGAATGTTAAATCATCCACGTTACATTCATGGCGGTAATTAGTTGTGTTGTATTAAAGTAGGGTTGTCAACGAATCGGATGTGGTCCGGATCTTGATTTGTCAAAATCCAAATTCGATTAAAATTTTTAATTTTGTATGCAATTCGTTTGTCTGACAAATTTCTAAATCTTAATACATATCTGTATCAATTAATGATCAGACATCTAATCTAATAACCCAGTTCAATCCAAAAAATTTGAATCTCAACAAAAATTTATTAAAAAATTAATAATTTTACCAAATTTCAGCTATCTTTTAACCTAATTTAATGAATAAATCGTTCTATTTCAATGATTTCTAAATAATTTCATGTTAGATTCACTAATAATCTAACCATATATATATATAAAATTAAGAATGTATGTATATATAATATTACAGCTAGAAAATCAAATTCTCAACTTATAAAAATACTACAACAATTAGGATTGATCTAATTTTTATCTATTTTAATCTAATAATATAAAATTCATCACAAAATCTCTTTTCCCGCTCAAAAACATCATTTTCATTATCCAACCCCAATTCACACTTATACATCTCCTCTTTTCCCTACCTTTTTTCTTAATTTATTTTTGTTCATTTAATTTTAAATTGAGTAACTAAAGAGAAAAAAGAATTTAAAATATTGTACGATCAATTTTTAATTTTTGATATTGCAAAGTTTCTTCACATACAGAGTTATTGTTAGTGTGTGTGTGTGTGTGTATATATATATATATATACCGAATTGAATTTTTGTTGGATTTACATATATCCAAATCCAAATCCAAATCCAAATCCAGTTAAAGACGCCTAATCGAATTCAAATAAGATTAGGGTAAAGATACAAGTTTTAATTTTTATCCAACTAAATGAACTCAAATTAAAATTAAAATTCGGTCCATTGACAGACTTATATTTAAATTGTAGGGGTGTTAATTTTCGACATGATTCACAAAATTAACAAATTTGGGTTAAGTTTTAATGAGTTTGGATGATAAAAAAGTGGACCCGTTAGATCCATCAAATAAATTAGTGGACATGAACTTAGCTTACCACAGCTTATACACTCTACAACCTCGACACAATGCAAACCCATCTATATACATGATAAATGGGTTGGTTATAAGTTGATCAAATTTTAGACATGAACTTCACACGGCCATTGATAACTTTCTGAAGTTGTGTCGTGTTTAAAATTATGCCCGACTCATTTATTATCGTGTATAATCAAGTTCATGTCGTGTTAAGTTTGTATCATCATGTATAAGTCTTATTTAATCTATTTATTTAACCACCCCAACCCCAACCCATTAATTGTATTTTAATTTCACATAATGTTTGCGGTTCATGTCATGACAAACTTATATATTGATATGGACCCACTAGAATGTGAATGTGGTGAATCACATTTAGATTCATACAATCATCATTATCCTGGGTATATTGATCTTAATGCTCCAATACTAACAAGAATTAGTGGCATCAGACACATACGTAGGCAAATTTGTCTTATTATAAAGAATCCTTAACAAAATTTTAATCTCTTCGAATTCAATTAAGTCAGAGACCAAAACCTGTTTCATAACCTAACTTAATACTTAAAATTGAATAATTTAAATACTTAATCCACTTAAATCACCTAAAATTCATATCACTTAATATTTTAAACATTTTTTTAAAAAAGGCTAAAAAAATCAGCTATTTATCACTTACAATTCACTATCCACCACCACTATCATTTTATCGTCACCTCAACCGCCACCACCATTATGATAATTGTGATAGGAATAAAGTAGTTGATATCAGATAGTTAAAAAAAAATTATAAAATTAAAATAATAATAATTTTTACACTTCAACTACTTATATTTGTCAAACATTTTAATTTAATTTAATACTTAAATTTCATTAAATACCAAACAGTTTGTGAATTAATAAATTCACGCTTAAAATTCTAACATTATTCATTCTTCAATTTTCATCATACACCACCCAACTTTGAGTCAAGAGGGAGGGAGAGTGCTATTGGATTTTGACGTCAGTGGAATGATGGTGTACTCATTATGAATTACACCTTTGATCCTTAAACTTCTACCAGGTTTTCACTTTGATTCCTGGTTTCATTTTTTTCTATGAACCTTCAACTTTTGGCATATCAATTAAATTTAACCCTTAAACAACAATTAATAGAAAAATATCTTTATACCATGGAGAGAAAATCCACACACAAAATTCATAATAAAATAGAAAATGGCATGGGAGTTCTCCCATGATCATTAGGTGATTTGAAACCTCTAAATTGCATTTTCCCAACAGTACAATCCACTATGAGATTAAGCCCCAAACTAAACATAAGAGATGATATATATAAGCAATACTAAACCAAATTAATCAATCTAGTAAATATATGAGATAATGAGGTAAAAATCAACTTGATCAATCTAGTAAATATTTTGAGGCTGAAAAGATCTTACAAACTGGGAGGCACAAAGAAACCAGCATCGAAGTCATCTTAGAAAACCAGTCTCTGGGTGTTCGTTAACATTACTTGTCCTGTCTCTGAAGGAGAGATGCCAGGTTGACTCTCCATCCATGGATGAGCAACGGCCACTGCTTTCTGGTCAGGATTGATGCCAAACCTCCCGGAAACCCATAGTTTTGGCTATTTCCTGTCTGGTAATTGTTCCTGATGATCTGCATTTGTGATGACCTGCAATATGAAGCCCAGACAAAGATAGCAAGAATGGTGAACTGCCAAACATTTTATCTGCTGAGATACTTTTAAGTATACTTTCATTCAGTGATTTGGACTGAAACTACTTGTCAACATTTGAAGAACCACCAGTAGACAGATTGAATTATCCTCTAGATATAAAATTCATAAATCATGAATGCAAATCAAACTAACCACAACTTGCAAAGTAATCCCATAATTACAAACTAAAATCTCGGAAATAATAAGGGATTCTCATGAAACAAACTGCAACCAATCTGACTAAAACCAACTTGACCTGCACCATTACATTGGAAAGATTAAGTACATGTTTTTAGAGCTTTAGCGCTGGCTTCCTAGGGAGAACAGTGTCATTGTTCACCACACTCAGGTCTCTGTTTTCAGGTTTAGCCCTTAAAGAATGGCTTAGTTCCAGTTTTATCCCTAACCTGTCACATGCAGTACTTTCAAATGCCATTAGCAGCAACCCCCGTGCAATTGCAAATCATAGCGCACTGGCATTCTATGCTAAAAAGTGTACCTCATTAAACACCAGAATTCATGATGATTTGTACTCATATACCAACACCTACCAAACCTAAAACTCGCAAAAACTGTGTCTAGTAATCAAAACTGTATCTGGACTCTCAAACACCATTTAAAATTAGGAAAGATTAATAATAAAATCATCTCCCTGGAAGAACACATCACCTTTATGGGTCTTTCAGTCATGTTCTAGATTTAGAATCATATTATAGGCAAAATTTCTCAAATTGATTTTTTTCACCAAAATGCTTGAAATGCAAGCATAAATATTCTCGCAACAAGTACACAAGATGAATTTGTTTAGCAGTGTATTGACCAGCTTTTGAAACTTTCTAGCCTTAAATCATGTACTTCAGTAGATTCAAACAAAAGCACATTTAGGAAGTAGAAGTCAAAACACATACACAGGAGGTAGTGATCCTTCTTCACAAGCAAGGGTCGACAAGCCCTGTCGCTGTTTATGCTTGGGATTGGCTGTGCACAATACATATACTCTGCCACGACGTTTCACTGTCCGGCAGAATTCGCACATTTTCTTCACTGATGACCTCACCTTCATTGCTGCTTAAGACTCAAACCAGTAAATCATTAGCTATCCAAATAAGTTATTATACACCAAAAAAAAAAAACAATCCTTAAAATATAATACAAGCACCAAGAGACAAAGTGAGTGAACAGCAGAAGAAACTTTAATATTCTGTCAGCTGAAAAACACGTGAAGAAAATTCCATGGAAGAAATCATGACTCTAACTGCAAAGCCTTCACTCAGATACTACTCAATATTGGCTTTGCAGCAACATGTCCATAGAAAATACAGATCTCCACATTAAATCAGCAAGTTGTATCACAAGATTTTACACACAGACGAATGCAAAGAAACTTCATCACAAGATATCCAAGGCACAATCCAGGCTTGTCCAAACTCTGGAGGAAGGCACAACATATGTGGCGATGGATTTTCATAAAGGTTTCCAAAATTATATTAATCTATTTTTATAAGGCAGATGTCTCAAAGGATCTATGCATGTATAATTGCTGAGGAAACTTACCAAACATATGCATAGGCAAAGTTCCAGGCTTGATGACAAATTGCAGTTAGTCAAGTGCCTAAATCAAAAACAGTAATTAAAGCCACTTAACATCTAAGAGTTTAAGCCCGTTCTTTTTCGGGGGACTCATAGGATTAAGAGCAAACATATCATCTCAAGTTGTTTAGCCATCTGTTCAACTTTTGGTAACAGTCACTCCATTCAATTAAGGAAGTATGGTGTTATCACATCACCACTTGAGTCAGCCAGTTTCATAAATCAGAGACACTTAAATACAGCTAATGTTACATCTATCGCATATATTATTCTAGTAAATTTAGGATTTGCTACACTTGATTTGCAGATTGAACTCTGCCAAAGACAGATAATAGAGGATATAAGTCTCCTCAAATAAAGGTGAAAGTTGAGAAAGAAGAACACACTGATAGAAAAAGATCAGGAAAGTGATCATCAACTAAATGAAGCAACTAAGCAAACCTAATGCTGGACTTTCTCCAATTAATAGGACCTAAGAGAAAGAAGATTATGTTTAGATGTGTGCACGCACACGTGTGTGTGTGTGTGTGTGTGTGTGTGTGTGTGTGTGTGTGAGAGAGAGAGAGAGAGAGAGAGTATTCACTTAGAAACTCACTAATCTTCGAATCTGACCATCAAAACAATTGTAGGGCCTCAATGAAGGCCATGTTAGCTAACACTTCTATAGACAACTTATAGCTTTTTGGTTTAAATAAGCTATATTCACATTTTTGTTACAGCTTGTTTAACTTAAGAAAGTCGTTTTTAAAAAAGTTGATCAAGAGATATTCTTCAGAAGCCATATTTGGTAGCTGCTTTTGTTTTTTTTCCTTTCAGGTTAAGCATTAACAAACATGGCCAAAGTCCATCACCAAGCTTGAATGGAGAATCCAGCTCTTCCAATTGACAAGAGATGTATTCTCTGCCATCATCAAGTTTCAATGCAGAGTTCTTTTACTCTTACAATTGACTAGAGGTTAATTTTCTAGCCACGACAATCTTCCCTGAAACAGAGGATACATACTTCCTCATATAATGTCTTTCAACTCTAATAAAATTATGTATATGCATACACCCATTAGCAAACAAAATACATCTCTGTGACATCTGGCACATATTCCAATTATAGAAAACGAATATGTGCCTTGAATGTCTACACTATAAATAAACTAAGAAACAGAAATGAATGGAAGCCAACACTGACACGGAGTCTTCAGTGTCATCCCCCAATCAACCACTAATGTGGTTACTCCTATATATCTTCATTTCTTACTTTTCAGCCTTGTCAAACCCAACACTTGAACAGAAATAAATTGCTCAAGCACTCACTCCAATTTTTACATATTTTTATTGCTAGCTATGAGAATTCAACCATTCATTCCTCTTTGTCACAAGAAAAACTTTAGATACAAACCAAAACTTTCAGCACTGTGCTACGATGGCTTTTTGATCAGCACTGTTTCATTTTTTCTATTTTTGAGAAACCTACTCTTCTGTCATTTCACCATTATAGACATCATCATAATATGCAGTGCAGTCTAACATGATATCTTACTATTCTCATCAATTCACCAATTGTCACACAACACTTTGTCTTGCACAAAAACTACCATTTATACACTGCCAATAAAATATTGTCCCTCTAATGGGACAGTCATTGAAAATTCTTAGTAGAGGTTCATGATATATTTAACTTGAGAATGGAGGTTTCCATGGTTTTTGTCATAGGATTAGCAACTCCGGCAATCCTATAAGACTACTGTTAATATGATCCATTCATTTTTACAAATTGCCACTTATTTTGAAACAAGCCTGGCGAGCATATTATGCTCTTTCTTTCAGTTAGCCAATTGTATGCAATAAAAGCATATCCAGTTTTCAATCCTCTACAATCACCAAAGCATTACATTATTCGGAACTTTTCCCATGGGCTGTCTTTGTTTAAATGTGCTTCTATTAGAATTGGAACCACATGACTGCTCACCTCATCTACATTCCCAAACGTTTGATAAAATCAAGCAATTTTCCATTTGATAGGCAAGACCGTAGAAGAAACTTTTCAGCAATTCCATGGAGTTGAGAACTCTTCGGTGGTGGCAGTGAGACTCCGTCAATACCTTCAATTATTGGTTGTGAGGCTTCATCAAGCATTGAAGTATAAGCCATCATGACTCTATTATACTCTCGTTTGTAACTATAGTCTCTAAAACTCGACTAAAGCACCCTTTTTTTGTGAAAGTTCACATTAATTTTATCAGTCATTGCATCATCTCTCCTATTGCACCTTGTCCTATCAGACAGAGGAGACTTGTCTTCTACAATCTCGAGGTCTGAAGGGAAGTTCCTCTCTTCCCTTTTCTTCCATGACCTACTTTTCATTATTCCACTCTCAGGATTATTTAGCAAGTAGGAACTCGTGGCTGGAGTTTAAACTAATTATGAGCGTATCAACAACACCAGTTGCTTCACTCTGACAGCACGTCTCCCAACCACTTGCTTTACACAACATCTAACTATTAAAGTTGGCTATAATTCTTCGCTGATAGATACAAAAGTGCATCCTCTTCAAAGCTTAGTGTTACTCGAGTTTATTCATCAATGCAAAACAGAAAAAAGAAGCACTAATTCCAAAAACGGTTTAGGATTACTTGATATCTACGAGACTCGTCCATGAAAACTATAATATAACAAATGAAACTATGAGTGAATCGAATTTAAATTTTAACTTCATTGAGCTCTATAATAGCATGGAAAAANTCAGACACATACGTAGGCAAATTTGTCTTATTATAAAGAATCCTTAACAAAATTTTAATCTCTTCGAATTCAATTAAGTCAGAGACCAAAACCTGTTTGATAACCTAACTTAATACTTAAAATTGAATAATTTAAATACTTAATGAATTAAATCACCTAAAATTCATATCACTTAATATTTTAAACATTTTTTTAAAAAAAGCTAAAAAAATCAGCTATTTATCACTTACCATTCACTATCCACCACCACTATCATTTTATCGTCACCTCAACCGCCACCACCATTAGGTCGCCTTTGCCACCACCACCATTATGATAATTGTGATAGGAATAAAGTAGTTGATATCAGATAGTTAAAAAAAATTATAAAATTAAAATAATAATAACTTTTACACTTCAACTACTTATATTTGTCAAACATTTTAATTTAATTTAATACTTAAATTTTATTAAATACCAAACAGTTTGTGAATTAATAAATTCAGTATTCAACGCTTAAAATTCTAACAAAATTCTAACATTATTCATTCTTCAATTTTCATCATACACCACCCAACTTTGAGTCAAGAGGGAGGGAGAGTGCTATTGGATTTTGACGTCAGTGGAATGATGGTGTACTCATTATGAATTACACCTTTGATCCTTAAACTTCTACCAGGTTTTCACTTTGATTCCTGGTTTCATTTTTTTCTATGAACCTTCAACTTTTGGCATATCAATTAAATTTAACCCTTAAACAACAATTAATAGAAAAATATCTTTATACCATGGAGAGAAAATCCACACACAAAATTCATAATAAAATAGAAAATGGCATGGGAGTTCTCCCATGATCATTAGGTGATTTGAAACCTCTAAATTGCATTTTCCCAACAGTACAATCCACTATGAGATTAAGCCCCAAACTAAACATAAGAGATGATATATATAAGCAATACTAAACCAAATTAATCAATCTAGTAAATATATGTGATAATGAGGTAAAAATCAACTTGATCAATCTAGTAAATATTTTGAGGCTGAAAAGATCTTACAAACTGGGAGGCACAAAGAAACCAGCATCGAAGTCATCTTAGAAAACCAGTCTCTGGGTGTTCGTTAACATTACTTGTCCTGTCTCTGAAGGAGAGATGCCAGGTTGACTCTCCATCCATGGATGAGCAACGGCCACTGCTTTCTGGTCAGGATTGATGCCAAACCTCCCGGAAACCCATAGTTTTGGCTATTTCCTGTCTGGTAATTGTTCCTGATGATCTGCATTTGTGATGACCTGCAATATGAAGCCCAGACAAAGATAGCAAGAATGGTGAACTGCCAAACATTTTATCTGCTGAGATACTTTTAAGTATACTTTCATTCAGTGATTTGGACTGAAACTACTTGTCAACATTTGAAGAACCACCAGTAGACAGATTGAATTATCCTCTAGATATAAAATTCATAAATCATGAATGCAAATCAAACTAACCACAACTTGCAAAGTAATCCCATAATTACAAACTAAAATCTCGGAAATAATAAGGGATTCTCATGAAACAAACTGCAACCAATCTGACTAAAACCAACTTGACCTGCACCATTACATTGGAAAGATTAAGTACATGTTTTTAGAGCTTTAGCGCTGGCTTCCTAGGGAGAACAGTGTCATTGTTCACCACACTCAGGTCTCTGTTTTCAGGTTTAGCCCTTAAAGAATGGCTTAGTTCCAGTTTTATCCCTAACCTGTCACATGCAGTACTTTCAAATGCCATTAGCAGCAACCCCCGTGCAATTGCAAATCATAGCGCACTGGCATTCTATGCTAAAAAGTGTACCTCATTAAACACCAGAATTCATGATGATTTGTACTCATATACCAACACCTACCAAACCTAAAACTCGCAAAAACTGTGTCTAGTAATCAAAACTGTATCTGGACTCTCAAACACCATTTAAAATTAGGAAAGATTAATAATAAAATCATCTCCCTGGAAGAACACATCACCTTTATGGGTCTTTCAGTCATGTTCTAGATTTAGAATCATATTATAGGCAAAATTTCTCAAATTGATTTTTTTCACCAAAATGCTTGAAATGCAAGCATAAATATTCTCGCAACAAGTACACAAGATGAATTTGTTTAGCAGTGTATTGACCAGCTTTTGAAACTTTCTAGCCTTAAATCATGTACTTCAGTAGATTCAAACAAAAGCACATTTAGGAAGTAGAAGTCAAAACACATACACAGGAGGTAGTGATCCTTCTTCACAAGCAAGGGTCGACAAGCCCTGTCGCTGTTTATGCTTGGGATTGGCTGTGCACAATACATATACTCTGCCACGACGTTTCACTGTCCGGCAGAATTCGCACATTTTCTTCACTGATGACCTCACCTTCATTGCTGCTTAAGACTCAAACCAGTAAATCATTAGCTATCCAAATAAGTTATTATACACCAAAAAAAAAAAACAATCCTTAAAATATAATACAAGCACCAAGAGACAAAGTGAGTGAACAGCAGAAGAAACTTTAATATTCTGTCAGCTGAAAAACACGTGAAGAAAATTCCATGGAAGAAATCATGACTCTAACTGCAAAGCCTTCACTCAGATACTACTCAATATTGGCTTTGCAGCAACATGTCCATAGAAAATACAGATCTCCACATTAAATCAGCAAGTTGTATCACAAGATTTTACACACAGACGAATGCAAAGAAACTTCATCACAAGATATCCAAGGCACAATCCAGGCTTGTCCAAACTCTGGAGGAAGGCACAACATATGTGGCGATGGATTTTCATAAAGGTTTCCAAAATTATATTAATCTATTTTTATAAGGCAGATGTCTCAAAGGATCTATGCATGTATAATTGCTGAGGAAACTTACCAAACATATGCATAGGCAAAGTTCCAGGCTTGATGACAAATTGCAGTTAGTCAAGTGCCTAAATCAAAAACAGTAATTAAAGCCACTTAACATCTAAGAGTTTAAGCCCGTTCTTTTTCGGGGGACTCATAGGATTAAGAGCAAACATATCATCTCAAGTTGTTTAGCCATCTGTTCAACTTTTGGTAACAGTCACTCCATTCAATTAAGGAAGTATGGTGTTATCACATCACCACTTGAGTCAGCCAGTTTCATAAATCAGAGACACTTAAATACAGCTAATGTTACATCTATCGCATATATTATTCTAGTAAATTTAGGATTTGCTACACTTGATTTGCAGATTGAACTCTGCCAAAGACAGATAATAGAGGATATAAGTCTCCTCAAATAAAGGTGAAAGTTGAGAAAGAAGAACACACTGATAGAAAAAGATCAGGAAAGTGATCATCAACTAAATGAAGCAACTAAGCAAACCTAATGCTGGACTTTCTCCAATTAATAGGACCTAAGAGAAAGAAGATTATGTTTAGATGTGTGCACGCACACGTGTGTGTGTGTGTGTGTGTGTGTGTGTGTGTGTGTGTGTGAGAGAGAGAGAGAGAGAGAGAGTATTCACTTAGAAACTCACTAATCTTCGAATCTGACCATCAAAACAATTGTAGGGCCTCAATGAAGGCCATGTTAGCTAACACTTCTATAGACAACTTATAGCTTTTTGGTTTAAATAAGCTATATTCACATTTTTGTTACAGCTTGTTTAACTTAAGAAAGTCGTTTTTAAAAAAGTTGATCAAGAGATATTCTTCAGAAGCCATATTTGGTAGCTGCTTTTGTTTTTTTTCCTTTCAGGTTAAGCATTAACAAACATGGCCAAAGTCCATCACCAAGCTTGAATGGAGAATCCAGCTCTTCCAATTGACAAGAGATGTATTCTCTGCCATCATCAAGTTTCAATGCAGAGTTCTTTTACTCTTACAATTGACTAGAGGTTAATTTTCTAGCCACGACATTCTTCCCTGAAACAGAGGATACATACTTCCTCATATAATGTCTTTCAACTCTAATAAAATTATGTATATGCATACACCCATTAGCAAACAAAATACATCTCTGTGACATCTGGCACATATTCCAATTATAGAAAACGAATATGTGCCTTGAATGTCTACACTATAAATAAACTAAGAAACAGAAATGAATGGAAGCCAACACTGACACGGAGTCTTCAGTGTCATCCCCCAATCAACCACTAATGTGGTTACTCCTATATATCTTCATTTCTTACTTTTCAGCCTTGTCAAACCCAACACTTGAACGGAAATAAATTGCTCAAGCACTCACTCCAATTTTTACATATTTTTATTGCTAGCTATGAGAATTCAACCATTCATTCCTCTTTGTCACAAGAAAAACTTTAGATACAAACCAAAACTTTCAGCACTGTGCTACGATGGCTTTTTGATCAGCACTGTTTCATTTTTTCTATTTTTGAGAAACCTACTCTTCTGTCATTTCACCATTATAGACATCATCATAATATGCAGTGCAGTCTAACATGATATCTTACTATTCTCATCAATTCACCAATTGTCACACAACACTTTGTCTTGCACAAAAACTACCATTTATACACTGCCAATAAAATATTGTCCCTCTAATGGGACAGTCATTGAAAATTCTTAGTAGAGGTTCATGATATATTTAACTTGAGAATGGAGGTTTCCATGGTTTTTGTCATAGGATTAGCAACTCCGGCAATCCTATAAGACTACTGTTAATATGATCCATTCATTTTTACAAATTGCCACTTATTTTGAAACAAGCCTGGCGAGCATATTATGCTCTTTCTTTCAGTTAGCCAATTGTATGCAATAAAAGCATATCCAGTTTTCAATCCTCTACAATCACCAAAGCATTACATTATTCGGAACTTTTCCCATGGGCTGTCTTTGTTTAAATGTGCTTCTATTAGAATTGGAACCACATGACTGCTCACCTCATCTACATTCCCAAACGTTTGATAAAATCAAGCAATTTTCCATTTGATAGGCAAGACCGTAGAAGAAACTTTTCAGCAATTCCATGGAGTTGAGAACTCTTCGGTGGTGGCAGTGAGACTCCGTCAATACCTTCAATTATTGGTTGTGAGGCTTCATCAAGCATTGAAGTATAAGCCATCATGACTCTATTATACTCTCGTTTGTAACTATAGTCTCTAAAACTCGACTAAAGCACCCTTTTTTTGTGAAAGTTCACATTAATTTTATCAGTCATTGCATCATCTCTCCTATTGCACCTTGTCCTATCAGACAGAGGAGACTTGTCTTCTACAATCTCGAGGTCTGAAGGGAAGTTCCTCTCTTCCCTTTTCTTCCATGACCTACTTTTCATTATTCCACTCTCAGGATTATTTAGCAAGTAGGAACTCGTGGCTGGAGTTTAAACTAATTATGAGCGTATCAACAACACCAGTTGCTTCACTCTGACAGCACGTCTCCCAACCACTTGCTTTACACAACATCTAACTATTAAAGTTGGCTATAATTCTTCGCTGATAGATACAAAAGTGCATCCTCTTCAAAGCTTAGTGTTACTCGAGTTTATTCATCAATGCATAACAGAAAAAAGAAGCACTAATTCCAAAAACGGTTTAGGATTACTTGATATCTACGAGACTCGTCCACGAAAACTATAATATAACAAATGAAACTATGAGTGAATCGAATTTAAATTTTAACTTCATTGAGCTCTATAATAGCATGGAAAATATCATAAAAAGGATAAATTTTTAACCCAAAACGCTAAATATTTTAATTTTCAATGGCAACTCTCTAAGAAACATCATTTTGATTATTACTTCATCCTGAAACACTCGATTGAGCTCCCATAATGTGATATATGTTGCTCACATATTTCATGCTCCACCTAGTCCCACATGAAAACAACTAACAGTTCCCATTTGCCCGCCAAAGATTTAAGAAAAAAACGAGTTTTTACCATGAAAGGAAACAGGGGAAAAAAAGCCTGAGGCTATAACGCAAATTATTTTTAATAGTTCTTCCATCTCAACCCTAATTTTATATTCCCATCCACTTTTCACCAAAAAAACAAAGGGGGAATAACGAAAAATCACTGCAAAGAATTTATTGGGTGCACATCAAAAGCTTGTAAAATCTAAAACCCTAAAGAAAAAAGCTAGACATTATATAACATTCATATAATGCACAGATATAGAAAAACACGTACAAATTCGTGTGTGTGTGTTTTGATTGTAACATAGGAACAGAACAGAGCATTTCAGAATCACAGAGAATCCTCAGATCAGTTTCATATAGACTGGAGTACCTGATTGTGGAGCCCCAACAATTAAAATACGATTTTCCCTGGCGCTTCAGACTTCTGAGTTCCGATCTCTCTCATGTAGACTGAAGCGATAACACGAATAGTAGTGTCGGCTTACATTTTCCGGGTAGGGTCGGGTCGGGTCAAAACCTATTTGTTTAAAAGTTAAATATAAAACTCATATTCTATCTATTTATAATTTGGGTTAATCTCATTTTGCACCCCGAAAGATTGTTCGAATCTCAATTTATACCCTCAAAGATCAAAAATCTCAATTTACACCCTTAAATATAGAAATTTGTATCAATATGCACCCCCAAAGATCAAAAATCTCAATTTGTACCCTCAAAGATAGAAATTTATATCAATGTGTACCCCAAAGATAAAAAAATCTCAATTTACACCCTCAAAGATAAAAATTTGTATCAATGTGCACCTAAAATTAAATTGATAAATTATACCTAAATCCCCTCATATTTGTCAGTTAATCATTTAGATCTCTTCACATTTAGAATATTACTCCTA